CTATTGACAGTCTTAAAGTACAGTTTCGTCAATTACGTTTCAACCACCCTTCCTAAATCTGTAAAACTTTAAAACGTCCAAAATATATACCTGTATATAAAGATCATTTTCTGGAAGGTATTAATTTGCACAGCTGTCAGCAGGGCGATTAATACCTCACATATTAAATGACAGGATTACAATCAGACTATGGTTTAATGCAAACCCAATAACGTACTCTTGCGTACTGTCTTCGAGAAGGTGGTGGACATTTTCGCATTTGCTGTAAAGCTGTTCTGTTAGTTCTTCCTAAAAAATAATTATTAAAAAACACAACTCTTCTGTCTTGTTTTATTGACGTCATCAAAGCTTACAAATACTGCTGTTGTTAAGGTGCGTTCTGAATGAAACATCCTGTAAAAGGAACTTAACTCAATACAAAGAAGCTCAGAACTATAAAGACTAAGACGCTTTTCCATTGTATACTTACACCGCAATATAGATGCCACCAAGACAAATTAAAATAATTTTATTAGCTAATACTACGACGATTAAGTTAAGTTGTATGAAATAGGCAGGACTTAAGGAAAGAATAAAAGAAATGAAACATACAAGTGCAACAGGAAATCCTTTGGGAAAGAGACAAATTATGAGTTCTGAGTTTAAAATGGAGAAGGATATTGTTTGTAATCACCAAACACTGCAGATGTAACTTCTTTAAGAAAACAAGTACGGAGTACAATATTATGAAAGAACGCTCCACTAAATTTGGTGGGTTAAGAGCACTGACATTCAACAGGCTATTTATTCACCCTTCAATCATGAAACAATTCTGTTAGTTAATACTTTAACTCTGATAATCTACGAAGCAGCTGGTGTTTGTTCACAATGGGTCGCACCAACGACGGAGTGCTTTGAGGTTTTAAACACGACACTTTTCCCATAATACACTTGGCACTCTCAGAGCATAGGAAGAAAATTAATCAACTAAAATGACCCACATCAGAAAACATGTTCACTACAGTGACGTCCTCTGTAAAACATGTTTTAAAAACTGAGCCTAAAATAAATTAGAACCGAAGGGTCGGTACTGTTGAAACACTGTAAGCATTTTTTATATAATACGGACCATATTGCTTGCATGTAATGTATTATGTGCTGGTAATACTCTTCTACAAAAACTGTAAATACAATACTGAATATTCCCGAACCCACAGCACACATTGTACACGAGAGACATACAGCACGTAAACAGTGCTTCCTACTTTAAAACAGAGCGCGCCCAAATGATGAAACAATTCAAATAACACGAGCGTTCGGGAAGATGTGAAAGGAAGCGGTCGTGGGTTGTTCCAAGCATTATTCTGGCACGTTTGGATCGACGGAGAAAGATCACGATAAATACAAAGGATAATACTCCTGAACGAAATTCACACCCGCGACCTATAGAGTATGAAAAAATGCTAACCACTCCAATATTGATACTTGAATTTTTCTGACAAGGTGATCCCTAATTTAAGCGTGGAACTGAATTATTTTATCCGTTTCATTAAATATTAATAAAATCGAAATATGTTACGTCAACATTTTGGCTCAAACTATAAATAAATTAATACACAGACCAAATGTAAAATATTTATAAAACAGCAGAAATGAATTTCAGGTAATATGCCAGACTGATTACGTGTAATAAGAGTGAAAAGAAATAAAATAAATCGTACGCGACAGAAAAATAAATACTATTGTACATTAATATAAATAAGTGACACATCCTACATGAGAAAGACTTCAATAACATACCAAATTGGAAAACATGTAGTAAGAAACCAAACAGGAGGCGGTTGTTACGAAATTACTAAGACGACACAAAGGTGAATGAACAATAGTTCTTAAGCACGAGCCTAGTATTCGAATAGTATACGTGCAACCCTATAATAACGCATTTATACGTTCGACCATAAAATACCTGCTAGCACGTCTTTCAAACAGCGTTCAGCAACCGCTGTGCCGCCACATTGTTTCAGGTGCGCCGGCAGTTCTCATAAGAAACTGTATATTCACACGCCCCAGTAAAAAAGGCAATTCTTATCTTTCTTCAGCGACAGTTTTATCCAACATGTTTTGCTTCCATGCGCCTGCGCTCTTATAGAGCACACACATTTATAGCCACGCGTAGTTTTGTGCCCTCTTTTGAGGAGACGTTCTGTGGCATGTCTTTGAAAAACCAGGGTGTGCCGCGGAACGCTGATTCAAAAGCACTCGTAACAAATGCAGGCAGGGCATATGAATCTGGTGGGACAGCTCAGTCAGTGAAGTGAATGACTTAAAGGCTAGTGGGCCGGGGTGGATATGTAGGCCTCCTTTATCCACGGACGAACAACACGTCCCAGTGGACTCCAATGTCCATCCAGTATCCTATCGAATAGCTACAGGAGTCGAAGCGAAAATCTGACCAAACACCGCCACCTACAAGTATACTCTGTTGAAGATGTGTATGGGAAAGAAATAAACAGAGATGGTGAACAAGGAGAGGCATGTGACATGCGCAGTTCACATTGGTAAGGCGGGCGGGAAGCGAGGTACGCAACGAGAACAGCAATTTAGAGGCAGGCCTTCATTCCCGGATCTGGACTAACAGGATGTCAGTATGATACTGTTTGCTGGGCAATACACATCCTGAGCAGGCCTTAGCGCCAAAGTTTACAATGCGTGAAATCTATACTACCACGTCCAATATATCTGCCGCCATAACGTGTTGTTTTGCCGTAAGAAAACCTCAAACCTTCCCACATGCAATGATCATTTCAAGCTCGCGTATTCCCACCTCAGTTATAAGTATTCTACAACATTCCACAAATTGGTTAATGCCAGTCGTGCACTTTTACTGACACGCCCATCTAGTTTAACGACCCGACAGAGAACACAATTCCACCTAGGTCACGGGTTCAAACGGGATGATACTATCATAAAACAACTGGTAAAATCAGAACAATTCTCGATTACCTTTTCGTTTTTTTTCCCGGGGGTAACGGAGACGGGGAAATACAATGATAGCACACAATGAAAAGAAGTCTAATAATATTTAAACCCTTTGCGCGATTTGAGGATGCAATCCAAGAAATACGATCGAACACGTTGTCGTGAGGTCGGCTTTAAATTTAACGGAAGGAAAGGGAAGGGAGTAGTGGGAAGAAAGACGTTGGCAAGACTGCGTCCATGTCGCTTAATACGAGGCGGCTTCCAAATACAAGTTGCAAAGAGCTAGAAAACTTAACTTGCTGGCAGCCAAGTATCTCCGGTTTGTTTCCAGTTCTCACAGATACAGACCAAGGAAGGATATTCTTGGTTAACATGTGTTGCTTGTATTTTCGATCAAATTCCGGCACCTTTACGCCGGAATTAAACGGGATTCTGTTACATCTTCCGGAAAATGTTACGATAATAATTGGGCCCAATAAAATCATCTCGAAAGGGAAAACAGGAGAACAAACTTAAATGAAAACTTCCATTGTGCAAATCCCATGAATCCGTAGTTGCACCGTCAACGGCTGAATTACGAAAAAAGAACTGGTGTTAGAAAATCCTCCTATAACCTAGATACTTCCCTCGCAAATTTTGTATCTCTGAGACTAATAGAAAATCTGTGGATGCCGTTTCTTGTCAAACGTCAAGGCGCAGAAGGATGCGCGCTTGAGTTATTCCACCGATTAAGCTATACTAAAAACATCCAAGACAATCGGCATTACTAAAACATCTGAGACGGGAACAGATACGGGAATTTGAGGCTCTCACGTGACGTAGCAAAACTTGCTGAATAAGACCAGGATGCATGCTGTCCAGGAAAGTAATTTCATTATTCAGCAGGCAAACTTATCAGCTGGTTAAGAAATACTGGTATAATTACAGATCCCAGAGTTCCGTAACTCTACCCAAGGTCATTTCAATTCAGTTCGAATCTCCACAAGCTATTTCCTAAGATCTATTTTAATATCATCCCACCTACTCGCAGTCTAATCGGTGCTATTTCTTATGCATCTCCAGCTACCTTCCGACCCACAGTTCATTTTGCACTCACTTAAGACTAATATAAACAACTTCATTACGTGGTTTACACCATTATTCTGCTATTTTACCTCCTACAAGTTCGAATATTCTTCTCAGCGGTCTCCGGTGTTCGTTCAAAGTAAGAGACCGCCATGACCACTGAAATTGGCAAATTATTCTCCTCGGGTTTTCGAGGTACGTGATGTATTGGACAGTAACACGTTCCCCTATTCGTCCAAGTAAGTCCATCACCCCCTACTCACCATCCACTGCCTTCACCCCCACCCAAACTTTCAACCTGATGATACAACTGCAAAGTTTGTCTAAACGCTTGAAAGCCTTCAACATTCCTTGCGGCTTAATCCCTAAAAAGTCAAAGGTAAAAGTTACATTAATAGAGACAAAAGCTTTTCAAAGTTGTGAAGCTTCCTACAGAATAGTCTAAAATACGTACCCATGACAGAAGACAGTTTGTACTGGGGTTTTTTCAACTCGCGGTCCGTCGATGTTTTGTGTGCCCCGTGTACATTATCTGTAGCACATATAACGGGAAACAGTTACCTGGTGCCAGACAACGTGGCCCTGTGAGAAACCGATCCGTTTAAGAAAGTCAAACCAAAAACTGGGTCGTGTCTTACTGAACATTTGGAGCGATGCATACGAATACAACAACAACAAAAGTAGCACTGAAAAATTAGTAAAGCAAAAGTAAAGTGAAATAACTTACTGTGATTGTGTTAAGAAAAATTATTGAATCACATGTGAAAATGTTTGAAATAATCCGCCCAATTCTTGAGAGTTTGTAAACAACTATTCCCACTTACAAATAAGCAATCCGCAAGTCCACAAGAATGGTGAATGTAGCCCTAGAACTGGAAAAAAATTGAGTACCCATGACATGGTGGGTCTGTACCTTACCCGCGGTGGAACAGACAATGCTACAGGCTACTTACACCGTGCATGTACGCTATTCTTACCTGTTTGTGCATCTCCACGTTGAGGCCATATGACATCTCGTAATACTGCAAGCAAAACAATACAGCGAAATTAATGGAAGTATAAAAAAAACAACAACAACAACATTCGAGACTGCATTAAACCATCGTCAGAATCCTTCAGAATCGATTCATTTTACTGTATACACTCTGTTAAATAAAACAAGAATAACAAGGTAATGACAGGTACACACTCGTAACTCATTACGAATTACGAGGCTCCCAAATTATTTCCTTAAAATTAAATACGATATTCCTGGGCAAGTTCCCTTGTAGCCTGTAAATATTCAATTAGATGATTCTTAACAGCAGCATATCTAGAAGAGAGTTTTGACGAAGGGCGGGAATGAGAACGGTAACAGCAAACGTATTAAAGAAGCCGAGAATGTTGTTTAAAAATCGCCGACCTTTCAGGACCATCTCTGTCCCCATGACGAGAGCTAACATCCCGAGAAGAAAAACTATAATTTGGCGGTGCTATCCAGACGTAACTAAGAAGAATCATTACATAATCAGTAAGAATACTTAGTTATACGGCTTACATTCGACGCGAGCAGTTGATACAACGCTTTGCTAACCTGTTCGTTTTTGGGCCTACAGATGGGCTCAAGTAAACTATAACTTAAACTCTTTCACACGGAAGAACGCCATAGAAAATCATCTTTAAATTAATTTTTCTCTGGCAAATATAGTCTCCGCAATTTTGCCCACTTCATTAGCCTTGTTCATTTACTTCAAATAACATACTGTTAAAAGTTAATTACATTATAAGCACTGCACACGGCATGGTCGGAAAACAACCGTTTCCTTTCAGACCCAACTTGTTTAATATTTAACGCGTCCCAAAAATACTTCAAATAAAAGTCAAAGACAATAAAAATATGCACAAAACTTCATGTTCAGAGTCCCACCACCTCGGAAAATTGATACAATTCGACTTGAATTTGTGTAAAGTACGAGGTGCGATCGGAAAGTTTCAAGACTGCGCGTATAAAAACCCGTACACTTATCTCAGGTATTAAATTCATCTATCACCCTCGAAGTAGTTCCCCTGGGAGTGAACATAACGATCCCAGCGCCGCTGCCAAGCCTGGAAGCATCCCTGGAAATCTTTCTTTGTCAGCCTGTCAAGCACCATCTGCGATTCTGCCTGAATCTCTTCTATCGTCTCAAATCTCCTTCCCTTTAGCTGAATTTTCAATTTACCAAAACGCCCGTAACTAAGAAACAAATGCTAATTCGATGATGCCGGCTCGCACACTGATTCACTATGAATGTAGGCCGCACCCCCTAGCGGCAGAAGCTCGTACTACATCCAGTTCGCCCTCTATTGACAGAAGATGGTCGTCCAGAACGCTCGTCATCATCGACAGGGGTTCGGCCCTTTTTAAAACGTGAATGCCACACAAAAGTTTGCGGACTCCCCAAATGTTTGCTTTAGCATTTCATAGGTTTCCGTAGCCGTTTTGGCGAGTCTTTGGCAAAATTTGATGCACACGCCATTCCGAAATCGCAGGAGGGTCGGTGTAATGCACTACCAGAACGCCCGTAACTAAGAAACAAATGCTAATTCGATGATGCCGGCTGGCACACTGATTCACTATGAATGTAGGCCGCACTCCCTAGCGGCAGAAGCTCGTACTACATCCGGTTCGCCCTCTATTGACACAGTCTTGAAACTTTCCGATCGCACCTCGTAGGAGTAATACTGAACCGATTCGAATCAAACCTACTACTCAGAAACCTGCGTTTAATCAGATGCAGACGTAAAGAAAGACGAGACTTTTAACTATGCGTTAATTCCATGTAACCATTAATTAGAACAAATAAATATATTCACATTGCACTGTCCTGACTCACCGACCTTCAGACCTACAAATACCATTCCTCTTTGTGTGTGTGTGAACGCACGCACATATTCCTAATACTTCAAAGAAAACAAAATATATGTTAAATTATTAGTCGGTTAATGCTGTCTAGCAAAATAAGTAAACCACAGAGTCTCTCTGGCAACGACTGGGTGAAATGCCAGGTTCATGAAAATTTAGGAAGGCGGTCGTGGTCTAATTTTAAGTACTATCCCGGCATATGCTTGTACAGACACAGACTAAGTCACGATAGCCGATCTAAGATTTGAACCTGGTACCTATGGAAAACGAAGCAAGAGTCCTAATCACTCATATGCAAAGTTCGGAGAAGGGTTACGTTGAAACGTGTCTTAGAGAAGTTGGTCGCGTACGTGTGAACTGCATTAACAAGCTCACAACAGCATTCGATGTGTGTCTTATGAAGAAGGCGATAAATATTCAGAATTCTTTACCCACCGAGAAACCACGAACGTTTCAAAAATGGCTCTGTTAGGTAATGATGGCAATCTGACTTCAATACTAGAGACGCCCACCAATATTCATTTCGGAGATCTTTTTACTTCACACTATTGTATCTACTAGTCGCGAGGCAGAAGTCTACACTCTAGTCGTGACTGCTAGTCAGTTATGTGACAGCACTGTAACGATGTGTCCAGTATCAGTAACATATATTTTTCACTGGACAGGGTCCTACCACATTCAATCGTTAACGTCTAAAATTTTGGGGTGAACCAAAAGTATTGCTAACATTGGAGTCCGTCCTACATTTTCTCTAACGCTTACATTCATTTCCGAAGCCACATTTTTTCCTGATGATAACCAACCCTAAAAAAATCTTTCACGAGAAAAAAAGTATTCTGCGCGGTGAATTATTTCCGTTCCATCGGTTCTCAATTTTTATAATAAAAAAGTACATTGCCCATCAATTTTAAAGCTACCAATATTCACAGAACGCAATAAAAATTACCATAGCCGATTCTGCGAATTCCACGACGCAAAAAAAAAATACATAGTACCGTCATACTAAAACCCCCAACCCTCGAATCCACTTTCCAAATGAGAACCCTGACATGTTCTCTAAAAATACTCTCACCTCTCTCTCTCTTTTTTAAATGTTGAGATTATAAAATTGAAAAGGGAATGACGCCCTCGTATTTCAGAAAGGAAGGCGGGTGGCAGGCTCTAAACCTACGTAATCGATAGCAGTGCGGCAAGGCCGGAATTGACGAGAGCGAACTGGGCTAGTGTCAATAAGGGACTCATGGGAAGGTAAACCCGACGATACCCTCTGCAGGGGTGTACGAACAGCAACACAGACGCGAC